TAAATCAACATTGATGTTGTGATCTTACCGGAATAAGATGGGCTTTTGATATCCAATATTTAAGACAAAATAAACATTTTACCATTGGTACACGAATCGTGTACCATAATGCGCTTCAGCCCCAGTTGTAAAAAGAGACTCGAGGGACGAGCCTAGACACATTGCACCAAATCGATCGGCGTATGTAGACTGGAATAACCAGACGCTAGAAATTTGCACTCGATTGAGACTGCTGGCTTATTTCGCCGAACATAACTGATTTGAAATTGGAGTAAAAACGGAAACCATTGAATGTAAATCAGTTTATATACATTCATATTACAGTATTATGTGTTGCGACCCACTTTTGTCAATTTCTAGGTCCCAAATGTTAGCGATTTGGCTCCTTTAAATATAGTTTTTATATAGGACAATGACAAAACTTATCATACTTCTGATGAGAAAAGATATCTTTCTAATCAGATTAAACCAAATATGTCAAAAGTCAAAAATTGACAAGTGCTGGTGAATTCACAATTTGCTTTTGTAAATATACCAGGGAAAAATTAATGAAGTTACATGAAATGATTTTTGAAAAAGGGGAGGTTCAAATGGAAAAAAGTTCTTCAGTTATTCATAAAATTTACACAGGCTTACGATGTATACACAATATAGCTGGTAAGACCAACAATATTTCATTTTTTTTAAAATGTTATTTATCTTGTTTTATCCAAAATAATCAAAATCTGAATTTATTTTTAGCCTAGGATTACATATAAACAAAACTATAAAGAAATTTGAGAATTTATCATTATTTCTGAAAAAACAAAAAAAAAACAAACATCAACAACACTGGTACCTTTGCTTTTTATAACCTAAATTTTGCATCATTAAACACTTTAGCAAACATGTCCTCAAATATTGTCCAGTATTAAAAGAGTGAATTAATCTTGGGTTAATACTTGTGTCAAGGTACCTATTTCCACAGCAAATACAAAAAGAAAACAGGGTACGAACAAAATCAATTTTTATGTTTTTATTCCCAAAGATATCTCAAACTATCTCGACAAAATCTACACAAAGCCTCACGATAAAATATAAAAAAAACACGTTCCACAATAAACATAAGCTTGAGTGGCTTATGGTCTAGATTGTACGATTATCTGAAAATCGCTAACAACAAATTATCAAATGATGTTAACAGAGAAAAGGCCATGCACAAAGTGGTATGTCATTTGTGAAATAAAAATATCAATATCTTAGTCGTCAACAATAAAGGTCAACATGGCTGATTTAATTTTCTCTACAAGACGCTAATTTACTTCAACATACAATAACATTAATCTTGTTTATGTGACTCTGATTTGAATTAGTTTAAAGGGAGGTTTGTCTAATTATATAGCACCACTGTAAAAAGTTGAGAAGAGGAGGACAGTTTGTTGGTGTATATGTGTGTGGATCTTAGAGAGATCACACTGTTGGTATAAGAAAGATACATTTGGTTTTCGACGGGTGGATGGAATTCAATTCTCTATAGTGCTAACACAAATATTCAAATATTTGTATTCAAATAGATTTTCAAAGCTATTTGAACTGATTTATTTGGTAATCACTATTCGATGTCATTTCAAACTAATAGAATCTGATCAACTAATATTTACAAGTACTGTTAATAAATAGATATAGAAAATATACTGATTTTACACATTCTTATTATCTAGAAATCTGAAAATATAAGCAATGAAAGCACTGTAAACAATATTAAAGATACATTATGGGAGATAAGATAACGAGATGGCAGTTCTTGCTATAATTGTTAAAAACTAGATAGTGTAAAGGTAATTTGCTGAAAATTTCAGTGAAATTGATCCACTATGAGCCGAGAACGAAGCGGGTGAAATTTTCGCATAGTCTCGGTCATCATTACTAAAATCATTAATATAAACAGCATAGTCTCAATTATCCACTGTTATGATTTAATTATCAATGGCCGTTAAGCGGCCTATAGGAATCTAATCCAGCCAACATCGAAGGCAAGCCTTGACATTGAGAGTTTATTATGGTCTGGATAGTTTAATTAATGTCTTATTGATAATTTAGATAACATTTCAGGCCTAAAGAAAGACATGCAATAGGCAGATTTAGCTCTTGCATAATGTATGTTTAATCATTTAAATTGAATCCAATATTCGAATATCATTCAAACAGTAAAATCAGCATTTAATAGCAAGTGCAGCAGAACCACACTACACGCAAAACAACGCCTACAAGATAAACCTGCAGACACGACAGAATACATAGACATTGCTAGAAATAAACAACAAATATCAATTGAATTGAATGGACCCGGGGGGCAAGCCTGGAAATAAGGCACCTGTCACAGACAATGTCAGGCACAGATTCAGGCTTTGTCAGGCACAAAACATCTGGTGCCTGTCATTTTGTCCGGCACTGATTTGTCTTTTTTTATTGATATTATTAATACATGTCCGGCACTAAGTTGAAAATTTCTGGTACTATTTCATTAGTGCCTGACATTTTGTTAGGTATAACTAAAACCGTTATTTATAGGCCTGTCGGGGGGGGGGCAGCCGTAAGTGTTTACTGCACTGAACAGTGCTGAGTCTGTAATGATACAGGCTTCACTCAAGTTATAGAAATAATACGACAGATCTTGATGGTAGTTGTCTCTTGAATGGTGTTTACTAACTCGATTTACTCCTCTGAGGAAACAACATGTACTTTTAACAACACATGTTTACATCATACATTTAAATTGTTTTAAACGAAATGCCAAGAACAATAATTTTCTCTTTACGTGTATAAAAAATTGAATAAAGTTAAATATCAGTTTCATAAACATTAAAAAAAGAAGCCCACACAAATATTATGACTGATGTTCAAAATGAATTCAATATTATTTCATATTGCACCAAATACATAAATCATTTGGTATTAAATATAAAGGGATATATCAGCTGTGTTTAATGATTTGATTCACCATGGAAACAGAAACTGAGGTCAATGCCCCAAATATAACATGTTGATATATCGAATTTGTCAGTTTATTTTTTTTAACTCCAACCTAAGTCATCCTTCAGTCCCCAGAAGATGTATGTATACTATTTGGAAATCAATTTTAAATGAAATAAATTGGGGTTCAACGTCTTATTTTTCTACATCGCGATGGGCATATGTCATGCAGTGTGTTATGAGCAACATTTTGTCCAGACAGCTCAAATTCCAACTCGATTTGTTTTTTCAAGATCCGAATGACTAGCCATTTTTCCTCGTCATTCCCTCCATCTTGCACCATCAACAAAGAAGAAACCAGACTGGAAAATCCCTAAGAACACTCTCGGCCAACAATGGGATCAAACCTGGAGTCCTCCTGGGCAATGAATCAGTGCCACACCGAGTCAGCATGGTTCCAAATTTGAAGGAGATATTCGATTTATCATTATTTTATTGTACTGTAAAGCTTCAAATCAATTGTAAAATATTTCCCCAAATTCAACACTGCTCCTTTATAGGAATGTTTGTGGGTTGGTACTGTCAAGAAAGTTTTTCCCAGCAGAAATATCATTAGAATGTTTGCACGACTACCATGATAATAAAGGGCAATATTGATTGTCAATACTGTATTGTATTACAATCTAGAATTCGTTTCCAGCCAGATTTCCTACTCAAAAGCCACTCTCATCAGCCACTTAACATGGAAAATGTCACCTATTCAATTTAATACTAGAAGCATGTAGATTGCTTGATGGAGATTTTTATTGGACAAGTTTTACGTTTTTAACCACGAAGGTCAATAGAGCTAGAACATTTATAGCAAAGTCCTATTTCATAAAAACAATTTGAACTAAAAAATAATAATTAGAATTTAGAGATAATTTTTGACATGTTGGTTTAGCAAAATCCTTTTAATACAAATATTGTGCCTAATAAATCATCAAAGACAAAGAATCCATAAAAAAATGAAGCAAAAACGAGTAAATAATAAATGGACCTTGTAAATGGTAAATTATGAATATGATACGCAGGACACAGTTCTATGGCATACAATTACTCTTGATTATTAAGCGATGTTTTGATATTTTGATTATTTTTCTCTAGTTTTTATCAATTAAATGAAATGAAATGGGATTTAACATCCTACTGTTCTGCTCCGACTGGGCTAATGAAGACGGGCATATGCCATACAGTGTGCTAAGAGAGAAATTTTGCCCAGATAGTGGAGCTAAGGCCTACTCTTATATCGAATTCCAACTGTCAAGGGATCTTTTACATGCACGGCAATGTCTGCATTAGATCTCAGTTTTTCGTCCAATCCGAACAACTAGACAGCTGTCCTGCCCTCCATCCTGCACCAATGACAAGGGGAAGCCCGTCCAGAAAATCCCATTGAATTTTCTCGGCCAACACAGGGAGCAAACCCACAACCTCCAGGCTAGTGAGTCAGCATCCTACCCACTGAGCCACTTTTATTAAGCAATGATGACCAGTAATTGTATTCCATAGAATTAAGTCCTGTGTATTAGAATTTCAATAACTAAATGCCATTAAAACAATTTATGAAACTTTTACAGAAAAAGCTTATTGATAGAGTATAATGACATTATGTTACTCTGTAAAACTATTGAAGAATTCCATTTTGTTGTGGAATGGTGAATGTAGTGTCAAATTTGAATGCATGAAACTCTTAATTAAGAGTGTAAGTGGCAATATGACGTTAAGGTACCATGCTAAATTATCAATAGAATTCTATTTTATTGTGGGATGAAGAGTGAAATCTGAAAGGTGGGTATTTGATTTATCTAGTTTTATGAAATTGGAACATTAAACCTACATATGTATATGACTATGTCTAAGTGTATATGTATGCCTGCTATCCTTAATGGACGTTTTGATGCAATAGACGTATCATATCTTATCTAGGGACCTGGTTATAGTATACTATGGTTTTATATAAAGCAGATTTCGGTACAAGACCAACTTGGTCGATAAATATGACTTACCTTTCACACGTAAAGTAGCACCAGCTAATAAAAATGTATTGCACTCCATTGGTAATGGTGTATTTGAATCGGCTACGTAAACATCAAATCTACGTATATCCAGTTTACGTTCATTCAGTATTGGCATCATTGCCTCTCTGAAAACAAAAGCACAGGGTATTTCAAACACCTTACAATCTGGTCCTATTTCCAAGGGTACTGTCTACCAATAGCAACAATGTGGTCCTATTTATACCATGTTTACAGTCCACTGTTAGCAGCAATGTATACAGTCTACTGTTAGCAACAATCTGGAGCTATTACCATGTAAACAGTCTACTTTTAGCAACAATCTGGTCCTATTACAATGTACACAGTCTACTGTTAGCAACAATCTGGTCCTATTACCATGTATACAGTCTACCGTTAGCAACAATATGGTCCTATTACCATGTATACAGTCTACCGTTAGCAACAATCTGGTCCTATTACCATGTACACAGTCTCCTGTTAGCAACAATTTGGTCCTATTACCATGTCTACCATTAAAAACAATCTGGTCCTACTACCATGTGTACAGTCTACCGTTTGCAACAATGTGATTCTTAAAATGACTCTAAGCTTATTCTTGAGAATTGATAGAACAAAACCATGAACATGACATTTGTTTTTTTTTTTTATTTAATCTGACTAGAGATTATAAACTGAATAGTCAAAGGAATTAATGATTCAACCAGAAATCGACAATACAGTTTATAAAATGTTTCAACAACAATCAACCACATGCACTGAAATATCATGTATTTTTTTATAAATATTTGTGGAGGCTTAACAATTTTCTAAAGATTCACACAGCAAACGATAGATAGATAAACACAGCATTGTTTCTTTTTCTGAATTCCAAGTATTTATTATAATATACGAAACAAAATATTGTTTAATCAAAATAAAGCGAAAATGAAATGAAATGGGGTTTAACGTCCTACGGTTCTGCTCCTAACTGGGCTAATGAAGACAGGCATACGCCATACAGTGTGCTATGAGGGAAATTTTGCCTGGACAGCGGCACTACGGCCTACTCTTATATCGAATTCCAACTGTCAAGGGATATTTTACGTGCACGCCAAGACCTCAGTTTTTCGTCCCATCCAAACAACTAGACAGCTGTCAGGCCCTCTGTCCTGCATCTCTGACAAGGGGCAACCACGCCAGAAAATCTGGATGAACTTTCTCGGCCAATGCAGGGATCGAACACCAGACCTCCAGGCTAGCGAGCCAGGGTCTTACCCACTTAGCCGCCGTGATCCCCCAAAATAAAGCACATTTCATTTAATCTTTATGAGAATAATGTCTTGATTATCATCAACAGTCATTTAATCAAGAATGTTCCTCAGTAGTGCAGGACGAAGGGCCTGAAATTGATAGTGTCTAGTCATTTGGATGGGACAAAAACCTGAGGTCCTGTGTACACATTGGCGTGCATGTAAATTGGAATTTGAAATAAGAGTAAGCCATAGCGCCACTGTCTGGGCAAAATATCCCTCATAGCACACTGTATGGCGTATGTCCATCTTCATTAGCCCAGTTTGTGTAGAACAGTAAGACGTTAAACCCCCCTTTCATTTCATTTAATCAAATAAATGGGAGGATGAAGCAATCTGATTGGCTGAAAAAATTATAATTTAAATCAATTGTATGGAGCTGCTACTAGGTTGTGTTTTTTTTACCTTAATTGTTGATTCTTTAGAGCAGCCACCACTACAACATCACTGTCATCATCGGAGAATCGTAATGTAAAAAATTCATCTGCACCAATCTACAGAGAAAAAAAATACATAAACTTCCAAAATTAAATATTATCTGCAATTCAATAAAAACGTAAAGGAGTACAAATATTTAGAAGGTTGTTCATCCCAAGATTATCTCAGTTTTGTCCTACTCATTTGAATAATTAATATAATCTTGTTGAGTCGAACATTACCAATAGTTTGCGTATTCACAGAGCATTTTAATTTTTATATACAAAACAAGCTTCCTCTACAATTAAAAACAAAACCTTTGAAGCACTTATTATTCTTTTTAATTTTAAGATCAACACAATATGATTGAAATTGTATCATCACCACAATTTAATTCTGTATTAAAATTTTAACAAATACAGTAACTATTTATATCCTCACAATTTGCAATTACAAAACTGAAAATCAGTCCTTGCAGAATTCAAAACCAGAAGAAAATGTTTGATTAGTTGTCTTCACTTTGTCATAGAAACAAACAATAAATCACTAATATCAGTATATCTCCCTAGCAACTAAACATAGGACAGTTACTAGAATACCTGGTGGAATTAATCAGTGTACGCAATAGGTGTGATGGGTATTAACGTATCATTAGCGGGTTGTGTGTATTAATATATATCATTAGATAAGTTACACAAATGTATGAATACAAAATACATATTTATTGATTAATACAGGATAAGCATAACATAAACAACCGAAGGAACAAAAATAATTCCCTAACGGAAGAATAACAGTTCACGTATGATTATTAATTTAATTTCTATATTAAGAAAGATTCATGTCCGCCCAAGACATCATTAGCAAAATATTTCATGAGTCAACATTCCACTAAATGAAATGGCAATTTGATCTATTTCAGAGTATAAAACTGTTCAAATCTTGATAAAAAAGCATTAGAGATGATAGACACTAATTTTTAATCTCTTATAGATTTATCTCGTAATTAGTTTAGCTGAAGTCTGAAGCAAACTCATAAATCGTTTCTAACAAAAATTATGATGGAAAATCAATTGACTGCAGTTTGCGAGCAAACAAGTAAAAATCTTGATGACAATCATATCTGTTACGTTAGAAACGTAGATAACAACTAATAAACAGATATGAAACTTTCAAATAAATTAGAAGTGGTATTACATGTTCTAAAAGCCTGTCAACAAAACTATGAATAACCATGAGAATTGGGATCACGTGGCTAAGTGGATAAGACGCTGGCTCGCTAGCCTGGAGGTTGGGTGTTTGATCCCTGCATTGGCCGAGAAATCCATTCAGATTTTCCGGCGTGGTTTCCCCTTGTCAGTGATGCAGGATGGAGGGCCTGACAAGGACAGCTGTCTAGTCGTTCGGATGGGACGAAAAACCGAGGTTCCGTGTACACATTGGCATGCACGTAAAAGATTCCTTGGCAGTTGGAATTCGATATAAGAGTAGGCCATAGGGCCGCAGCCCGGGCAAAATTTCCCTCATTGTACACTGTATGGCGTATGCCCATCTTCATTAGCCCAGGTTAGGAGCAGAACAGTAGGACATTAAACCCCATTTCATTTCATTTATACCATGAGAATTTATCATGCTTTTTGGGTAGACATCACTCTATTGGACCTTTGTGTGTTTAATTAATGATATCACAGGAACCTGTAACTCTCTACTGGACCTTTCTGTGTATAATCATATCAGTCAAAGCATACATAACAGGCCTCTCACTTCAAAGCTTAACCAGTTGGTCAATTTATCTGAGATTAATGACCAAGATATCAGTTCACAGAATGTGACAATCTATAACATTAACTCACTATAAAAATCTATTTTCAAATGTTTTTGCACTGTGAGAAATACCTAATTTTACAGCCTGGGAATTGACTGATAAATTATATTTTATCTAAATTAAGAATACTTACATGAAGGGCGCACAAAAAACATTAAAAAAAAGCTTGTGTTTTTTATAACTATAACGGGTACTATTGTATACTATTCATTTACCCTAGCAAACTCATTATTTCTCATTTAAGCACATACCTTTTTGAAAATGCATTATGCAATGCAAAAAATACTAAATTATACTATAAAACATAAAGCCTATGTTAAAAAGTGTCCATTGTTTTATTCAAATATTAATTTTTCCGGATCACAGACCGCCAAGACAACTGACACGTCCGTCTTAATATTGTTGACATTATTTATATTTCTGCTTTATTAAAATTTATTTCAATCAAAGCATCTGTATAAAAACAATTAGTCAAGAAATTGAATAGGAGCAGGGATAATTCTAACGGTATTGGTTGGGTGGAAAAGTGAGCGAGGAGTCACGTGACGTAAACAAACCCCATTTTCGGCATTTGCTAACTTCGTGGAATGAACACTCAGGAGTTTGTACCAGTATTTGTTGCTATTTATCGGAAATAACATAAAAAAGGAAGACATTCTTTTCAATTTTTATGTTAAATATCATCCAGAAAAATCAAAACCGCCATATATCGCGGTATGTTCGGTTTTTCGATATTTTTCAGAAGATGGTATTTTTCAAAGTTTTTATTTCTGTGATGGTTTTATATCGAAAAACCGAAATATCGCCCAGCTCTAATGAACTCAAATGAGAGCCAGGTTATAGGGCTGTCAAAAAAAATACACACATATGTATATTGCGATACAGGCCTAACATAATACGCTATATCGATAAGACTTCGGTGTATCAATATTTCCATTCTACTTTTTTTCAAAATGGCCACTTGTCGATTATCGTTATTTTAATTACATAAAAATGACGAGATGCAGGATATCTCTTAGCATTTATTTATCAATATTCATGTAAATATTTACTTGAAAAACAATGATATAAATCATTGGTGACATTCAGCATTTATTTAGTGTGTTTTATGGGTAGTTTTGCATTGATCCATCCAATTGCCAAACAAATGATGAAATCGTGCACGCCATCACGGAAGCTATTGACATCATTTGTATTGTGTCAACTATTTTTTTTTTTTTTTTTACGAACAAAATGAATATTTCTATAGCAGATTTTTTTTTTCTTAATTTAAGTTCACAAGTATGGGGTTTACCGTCCACTCGACACAAACTAGGTCATTTCGAGACTAACATATGGTTGAATTTTATTTCAATAATTCGCTTGCGTGTAGGGGTCTTTAGCAGTGGAAGGAAACCGGAGAACCTGGAGAAAACCCACAAGGTTGGACAGGCGACCCTACTTATTGTCACGTACCTCTGGGGAATCAAAACCACATCAGTTGACTCAATGACAGAGCTTATGATATAACACGCATGTGCTAACCATTCAGCCATCCAACCCACCCGGCCCACTTTAAATAAAACAAACATTTCAATCAGTTCGTGTATTAGTGTCTTCAAATACTTGTGAGCCCTACTTATATTTATTTTTTCAGAATAAAAAAAAAACATGAATATATCTATACTGGTTTATCAAAATCCCTATACAGAACTATTAACAAAGAGAGAGAAATGGGGTCTTTAACATCTGTTTGTTAAAAACTAAGTCATTTTGGGACTAACATATTGCACAATTTCATTACAATAATTTGCTTTCTAGCTGGGGTGTTTTAACAGTGGGAGAAAACCGGAGGGGCCAGAGAAAACCCATGAGAGTGACTAGTAACAGACCTTAGGATCTAAAGTGAATGCATTGGACCATTAGACAACCCCCTCTCCACCCGGCCCAATTAACAACTAATAACAACTTTTCATTATTAGAAAGCATGCATATGTAACAATTTTTAAAGAGATTATATATACCAACCCTTGATTGTCGTCGAACAGGTGACCTAAGAGGAGAACCAATTTCAGGAAAATTTAGAGCAAATATTGAATTCTCATTGACTTCCTGGACTTCTTTCTCCCTCGGTTCAGGACTGGGATCTGGATTATCGGATTCCTGTGTGGAAGAATTGGCCATATTGTCCTCCGATTCTGGACTTTTGTCTACATCCTGCTCCTGAAGGTAGATCAAACAATACAATTTTAAAACCAAATTTGGGCATCTCTAAAAGTACATACAAGTAGCTTAAAATTAAACATCAAAACGGTTGAACTGACCTGTATTCTTGATGACTGATCCCTTGTTAAAAGAGAGGAATAATTACTATAGTTATCAAACCATTATTTAAAACATATTTCTGTTTTGATGGTTGACACAAGATCATGACATTAAAGACTTTCTCTTTGACAAGTGAATTGCTATGAAGTTCGGGCATCCTAGAAACTCTGCTACTCAATTCTTTTTTCATCTCTGATTTCCAGATTATCAAAGAACATAAATGTTATCATTGACAGCTGACAGATTAAGTCCCTTCTTTAGCCAATGCAAGAATTTTCTATGACAGTACTTCAAATTAGACGAAAGTGTAAAAGCTTGGAAATACTACCAGGGGACTTATTCAATGGCATCATTATAATAACCATGAATTGAATAAGGAACGAAATGGGGTTTAAAACTAATAGATGGTAAAGCTTTAATTATTTAGTAATTTTATCTCTTAGATTTTTTGGGAGGGGGGGGTACTGGTTATTTTTTTTTTGGGGGGGGGGGAATGGGGGGAGGTAAATAGATGGTAAAGCTTTAATTATTTAGTAATTTTATCTCTTAGTTTTGTTTTTTTTTTGGGGGGGGGGGGGTACTGTTTTTTTTTGGGGGGGGGGGGGCATCTTTTGTTTTCTGTTATTTTTGATTGTGTCGAGCGTGTGTGTGAGTGGAGGTGATAATTTTAATGTTTTACTTAAATTTGATAATTCAGTTTACTATTGCCCAATTCAAATTCCGAGCAGAGTATATAAAATGTGAAAGCCAATTGGCCATGTTCATTTTTTGTTGAGTTTGGATGAACAAATCCCAGATTAACAAAATGAACTGAGGATTGCACATTTTTTGTGGTTAACGCATAAAAAAGCATTTAAATTTAGCAACATTTAGCACCAATGCTTACCGGTTTATGTTTCAGAAAGTCCAAAAGAGCCAAATATTCATCGGTGGTGTGACTAGTGGGTCTTAGAGAAATTCGTCTCTTGTACTGGTACTCCATATTGAAACAACTAGAACACACTTTACTAATAATTTTCTTTACACAACTGACACATTAAATTTTTGACGTCTCAGTTTTTCCCATAACTGCTTTTTGATTAATGGATATCATAGTAGTTCCTTAAGCACCTGATGTCCAAGTCACATGCACTTGATCAAGTACACTGAACAACAGGTAAACTGACACAGTTACAGTTATGTACGCATAAATAATAGGTATTTTCAGGTATGGGTTTGAATTTCACTAAAACTAACACTTTTACCATGCAATGCATTTTAAAGTAAATCCAAACCAATTCACTGATCTTAGGTTGGATGTCCTAAATCACAGGTCAAATGTCTTAAAATCCATAGGTCAAATATCTTAAAATCCATAGGTCAAATGTCTTAAAATCCAATCGTTATGTTTAAATGTTTTAAAATCATATTAAAGCATACTGTCTTTAAATCCATATTTTGGTTAATTGTTTGTAATTAATCTTTTCAATTACCGTAACTCAACAAAAACATTGATAAGGCCCTCTGAAATATAATCAAAAATACGTGAAAACTACTAGGAAAGTCCCTGAGTTTTATTCATCATGACACTATGTGTTAGTCTCAAACTGAACTAAGAAAAATAAGATGAATTTAAATAAAAATCATTCCTATTTGTAGAAGTTAAACCCAGTCCATTAAGATGAATTTAAACACAAGTCATTCCTAATACATCCTAACCAGTAATCTGATGTCCTTTTTTCACTGCTAGCTGATTCAGCACATAAGAACATACCAATAACAGAAAGTGGTACCAGATCTTCAAGAGTCACTGTAAGCCTACCCTGTCTCACACAGTCTACCTGTCACTACTATAGGACACTGTATCATTTCACTTGTCAACACACCCAAGAACAATTCACTAATGGAAAGTGATATCAGATCTTCAAGAAATTATAAGTCTACCATGTCCCATGCAGTCTACTCTACCTGCCACTCGGTCTAATTTCACCTGTCAACACGCTTGTAATGTACATGTAGATACACAGGTATTACATATTTAAATGACCATGTAAACATATCATCATAGATTCAACACCTGTAAATGTCTTATAAAACATTTTCATAAAACAACCTATAAAACTTGTTATAAAACTCAATATGACAACTAAAAATACATTACAGTAGACTTATAAATATAAAAATAAATTATGTAAATAGATGACAATTTCAAGCCAGGCGTACACATTTTTTTAAGTTAATAAACTTACAAGAAATAGAGCCCACGCAACACTACACAATACAGTCTTCAATAATTGTAGCGAATAAAAGAGATTTTTTTCACTCCAGTTATTAAACTGACTTCAAATCAACCACAGAGTAACTTCATTCACGTAAAAATATTAATCTATATTTTAGAGACCCACATTTGTCCCAAAATACATGTTAGGCTTACAGTCTGACATAGTTTCACAGTTAAAAGAGGACCAAGTCATACCAGGTGAACATACATAAAAAATAATTTCCAAAGAAACGATTTTAATTCATCCATTAAATTTCATTATCTCTTTTCATAGCCAAAGTTACAAAATAATTAGAGCATTCATCTAACAAATGGGCCAATTTTAAGAGAGTAGCCTGAATCAAAAGTTTACTGTTAGTCTTTTTAGGATGAAACGAGGACACCTTTCGACATGCTGTGAATGACTCATTACACGGTAACGATCAAACTAACTTCCAAGTAATCCATGTACAGTGACAATCTTATTACAGTTCTTGCAGGTGGTCTCTATGATGTAAAAGACTTAACGGCGTTAATCACCTTTAACTTAACTGTATTAAAATATTGCTTTTTTATAATACGAGAACAATAATGAAATAAATACACAGAAATTGTAACCTATGTGTGTATTTTCCATACAAATGGAAAGTGGAAAAAGATGTTCTAGAAGGAGCAAGCACACCCTGCCTTATACACACCATCTATCACTACTCATAGTTCCCTGGTACAAAAGTTTCAGTCCTACAATGAAGAACACAATAAAAATCTGCCCTTTATACCTCGGATCCACCAATCACAATACCAATCTGCCCTTTATACCTTGATTCAATCACCATACCAATCTGCCCTTTATACCTTGTATCAATCACAATACCAATCTGCCCTTTATACCTTAGATCAATCACAACACCAATCTGCCCTTTATACCTTGGATCAATCACAATACCAAACTGCCCTTTATACCTTGGATCAATCACAATACCAAACTGCTCTTTATACCTCAGATCAATCACAATGTCAAACTGCAAATTCTGAAGATTTTTGTTATCTTTATCTATTGTTTTACCATGTGTTAAATTATTTGTAATTTCGTTGACAATAACGTAAGACTACAGTATGGATCAAATTCAGATGATAAAACAATCATGGAAATTAAACTGAAATTTTGTACCAAGCTAATAGATATAAACTTGCCACCAGCTGTTGTGTATGTAGATATCAATAGATGACAATCTTAGATAAGTGGATGATTGACAGTAAATTACCTGAGTATACTATTTTTCTACATATACTAGATACTGTAATAGCTTTATTGTGATTACTCACATTGTCTTATATAACAGTAAAATTATTCTGAAGGAAAGTCATTTGGATATATATAATCAGTACAAAATCCACAAATTTATTTCTGAAAGTCTTAAACTATGTTGTCATAATTAACTTAATACACATAAATAAATGTAGTGAGATATTTCCGAAATTGATTTTACACAAGCTGAAATTAAGTTTATTTTGTTCTTTTACTTCAATAAAAGAATCCAGAACTCAATTAGCCTGGTTGGTACAGAAAGAAATTTCAAACATCCACATAGAAATTGAGAGCCCTAATCTGTCAGTTTATCTTCAATACTTCACTGAATCTGTAATTATTACCTACACGTATATATATTCCTGACCTTGTAGACATTCCAAAAAATGATACGGTCAACTAGTCATCTTTAATTCTATCTACATTTCAATAACACAATAAAAGATATACCATATTTCATGATGGATGATTTTCAATGATCATCATTCAATGAATCTGAATAATAATAGTATAAACATGATGACACAAATAAACACTTTTCACCTGACGTGACCTCAATAACTAATAACCTAGCATGAATACTCAATATCTAATGAAGTGGAATAATTCTATCCACATTAGCTCCAATACTATTCAACTGGTCAAATTTAATGCTGATATTCTCTTTATGAAATGATAATAACTGATATAGCCACAGTGTGATTTGAATATAGGATCTCTCATTCAAACTTTTCTAAAAGTACCAAATATCTACTAAAGCAGAATAATTCTATACAGATTAAACTTAATGACAGATTCTTTTTGAAGCATCAAAAAATTGGTACTGGTATATTAAAATAATTATTCGACGATATTGAATGCTATTTAATGAAACGAACAAGTTTGAGACAGGCACTGAAATTGATGAATTAAGATTACCTATAATGCCATGATCTTCAATAGTCAAAAATAACCCCGACATTCATTCTAGACTAAGTGTGTTAGCACTCTAATAAGGCCAAAACAAAACTATATAAAATGACATTGATAGACAAGTAGTGAACTGATTGATGAGGATCTCATACCTGTAAATTTAATATATACCTTAAGTCATATTGAAAGCATGTTTGTTATTCCCTTTTTAACATGTTCGAGGAGCCAAGGTGGCTAAGTGGGTAGACGCTGGCTCACTAGTCTGGAGGTCGTGTGTTCGATCCCTGCATTGGCCGAGAAAGTTCATCGGTATTTTCCGACGTGGTTTCACCTTGTCAGTGGGGCAGGACCGAGAACCTGACAAGGACAGCTGTCTAGTCGATCGGATGGGATGAAAAACCAAGGCCCCATGTATACATTGGTGTGTACGTAAAAGAT